CCAAAAGCGATTAGGGTTTAGGGTTTAGGATAGTGGAAAATAGAATGGAAACTACTATAATATTGGGGTTATAATGGGATAATGGAAAAGAGAATGGAAACTACTATAATGGGATAATGGAAAATAAAATGGAAACTACTATAATGTTAGGGTTATATTGGGATAATGGAGAATGAACATGGATGGAGCTCCCAAAGAGCAAAGCTTGGGGACCCCACATCAATGTTAGAAGGACCCCGTTTCTACATGTTCGTGACTTTGACTTTCAACAGGTCTCGATGACACTCTGCTTGTAGAATTCACGCAGTTTTGTCCTGGGACCTAGTGCAAGCTAGAAGCGCTGTACATGCCTGGCTTGCTTCTTGGAGCAGGTTGAACATATCCTAGACTTTTGTTGCAGACAGGGCACAGTGTTTTTGCCCAGAAAGTTTCCCCACTTGGAGTGGCGGTGTATTGCTAACTCTTAACATCACCTCTCATGTACGACTTGGGTTCGCGGCACTTCCCGTCAGCTATGCCTTTGAACATGCCAGTGCGTCTGAGTTTGTGACCACCGAATTGCACCCTGATTACTGCGGGGGCCATAGGGTACTTGCACAATTATGGTATAGGGTACCTCAAGTAGATCTCAAAGGACATTGTGAAGTATTCTTTCAGGCCCCTTCATTGCTTGAACTCAATTTGTAAGCATGGGTTACCAGAAGCAGACCTTACGTTGGGAAACTCCGCATGCTGCATGCTGTCACCATCAAACCCTAAACCTATCAGCCTCGCCTTCACAGGAGTCGGGGAAACAGTGGCTTGTGCCCCAGTTTCAGGGCTTGGCGCAAGTTTGGGTTAGGAGTGCTGGTTGTGATGTAATGTGGTGATGGAAGGCAGTTGTTTGCAAGGCTTGAAGGTTGGGGTGCGCCCCTGATATTGCGCTACAGTGTATAATTTATGACAGCTTGGCTAACAAAGTCCTTACTTACCGTCTCCGGCAATCTTTTAGGCAGGAGCTTTTGCTCGTCATCTGCTGACATGCTGCGACCCACAAGTGCTTCCGAACAGCTTGCGAAGTTGCATTGAAAGGAAGTGGGCAATTTGGGTCCTGGTTGTTCATTGTTGTCCCTAGAGTGGGTCTCGTTGATCCAAAGCCCCCTGCATCCCGCATAGTCATAAAAGACATGGCCTTGTCGCGTGGTGGTCATAGCACCACCACCACCACCACCACCTCCTCCGCTGTCGCCACTTCCATGACTGCCACTTGAGTAATAAATTGATTGCAACCTTGCTGGCAACGTGACCCACTGACCCGCCCTATTGCACCACTGCCGCTGCTGGTGCTGCCGCCACCACCCCTGTAAGGACGACGTGACCATCGTGGTATTTGATAGTGTTCACCGCAGCTGTGGAAAAGCAATCAGCAAGTCATAGCTTCGCACACCGGCTTTGAGGCAGTATGGGTCTAAGTTTAGAGTGTAAGGGTTCAAGGCCTAGAAGAGAGCTGTCATGGCCAATTGAGAAGTGTAAAGCCCTTTTACAGTCTCCCTAAACCCTGGATATTTTAGGGTGGTATCCAGGATGATAAGACCGTCTCACAAGAATTGTATCCCAGCTTGTTCTGAATGGCTTCTTTCATTGGCGTCTTGGGGCAAGCGCTTTCCCCGGACGGTGCCTTCGGCAGCCAAGTTTGGACTTTAACGTCTGACTGTTGTGAAGAAGCCAAAATCATTGCGTTTTGTTGGTTTGTGGGCAAATGTGCAAATCGGAGATGGAATGTGGGATTTCCATGGGTAGGGGGCCCCAAATATGGATCCTATTCTAGTTTCATTAGCAAAACCAACACTGAGCTCGGGCTACTTGCCTGGAAAATCTTAGCAGTAGAGCAGCTGCAGAGGGGACCCATGTTTTCAGCCAGCATTGTGCTGGTTGAGCGGTTTCTCGTGAAGAGGTGGATTCCCGACGTAATATAGGGGCCTAAATAATAGCCAATATTATGGTACCTCAAGTGGACCTCAAATGATATTGGTAATTTTTTAAGCCCCTGTAGTAGGGTTGAGGGCTTAGGCGACTTAGGATTCAGGGTGTAGATTTTAGGGTTTAGGGTGCTGTACTGAATTGGTGTTTGTCTCTTGGAAGTTTTCTGCTGAGAATCTGTGTCCATCGCTGAACCGCAAACACTCGAGTCCCAAAACCTGCAGCTTTTCGAGCTGCCAGGTCCCTTCAAATGGGTATATGGGGTTGTATAAGGCTACGGAAAACAAAATGGAAACTACTGTATGATAGTGGGGTATATATTGGGGGGGTACATACAGGTTATAAAAGGATGTGGAAAACCCTACACCCTAAACTTTGCGTACTGCCCCCGCTCAGTAACAGTTGGATAATTTTTAGAATATGGTTGTATATAGCCCTTAATAGGACTCCTAATATAGACTGTTACAGGGTGGGGGCAGTACCCAACCTAAACCCTAACCGTAAACCCTAAACCCTAAACCCTTAATTACCATCCTAGGTTCAATTCCTATCTCCTTGGCCAACCGTGTGGCTGCTGCTGCCGAACTCTGTGCAGATATTTGGGTTTCCCAGAGTTAGGGTTTAGGGTTTAGGGTCGTTTGGGGATCCCATAATAAGAACTATAGTATTTGGGGGTCTATATTGGGGTTCCTCTATTTTGGGAAACTACCATATTGGTACCGTTTTGGAGGTTCCATACATGTTTTTTTTCAACGGTATTGCACCTAGTGCCGGGATGTGCTTCGGAAACCTCCACATCAGTCCTTATATCTGGGTTCATAAGACGAGGTGACTGAGTTAGGCAACTCCCAGACAGCCCCTGATTTTGATCCTTCATACACCTTTGAGAACACTATTAGGCTGGTGCAGAAGCTGGAACTCAAGACAGCCTCCTAGAGGCTCCGGAAACATGATTCGTTTCCTTCGACGCTGGGACAGCCCCCAAGAACCTTTCGGCCAAGACACCACAAGTCAGGAAGGGCATCGCCTACAATGGAAGATTCATTTGGGGTTCAGCTGTGGGCGTTGTAGGCCCTACAAGGCCCAAAGCTGAAGCCCAAAATGAATCTTCCAAATGTATTGGTTTTTGGAAATTACCAGATCCATGTCCCCTCTTTTTGAAATCTAAAGTGGTATCGCGGCCGACGTGGCGTCCTTCAGTGGGGCCCTGAAAAGGCTGTGAAACCCAACTTGGAAGGCCAACACGGTAAACTGGAAACTCCAACACAAAGGAAGACACGCCATTCGACAAGATCAGGGCACCCGAACTGCCTTAGGGATAATGGAAAAGAAAATGGAAACTACTACAGTATATTGTGGTTATAATGGGATGATGGAAAAGAAAATGGAAACTACTATCATATACTTAAACTGCTGCTGAAGTTCTGATCTCCAAGCAGTGCTCCACCCTGACACGACGAAAGCTCACTACAAATGGAAGGAGCGGGTCGCGCTGGCGCATGTAAATGCATCGTGGTCTTCTCAACACCACTGCCATGGTACAGTATTACCTTTACTGCATATCCTGAAGCCACACAGCACAGGAACTTCATCGAGCAACTGGGGCTTCTATCATCCTCAGCGGAGCCGATGTCAGCAGGGTGGGCACATCAGAAGCCCAGGTCACTCTGACAAGGATTATACGGGATATTACAGGGTTTCCATGTTTTTTTTGATGCAGGGGACTCCTTTGTATTGGTGCCGTTTTGACATGTCCAGAGGGTTCTAGATTCCAGTAGCTTGCGTAGATGCTTTCAGGCTTGTTGTTCGGTTTATGCACAATCTTTGGCATTGGCTTGGGCTTCGCATTCGCGTTGAGCAAGAGCACTCAGAATTTCATACCTTAGTTGAGGATTCGGATGTGGGTATGGATTCCAGACGGACATATTCCGGTTCATGGAGTGGTGACCTCCACGGCTGCATTGTGATCTCCAATGTAGGTCACCACTGAAGAATGGGCGGAACAGATAAGCACAAACACACAGTCTGAGACTGTTCGCAGCGAGTTTCCTGCATTCCAGCAGCGGAGTGCGCGCACTTGCGCTTCACATTCTCAACGCCTAGCCAAGGAGTTTCTAGAAATCCGGGTGTTGTTTGTGAAGGAAGCTTCTCAAAGGAAACTGTAGCAATCTTTGATTCCCAGCACTGTTCATGGAAGAAATTCCTAAGCATCGTCCTAAGTTTCATACGCCCTCCCTAAACCCTAAACTCTATAAACCAAAAGCTTCACAGGTTCACAGGTTCTAGATGGTGCAAGATTTCCTCCATTGACGGCATGCATGCCTGTCCTGAGCTCACGTCTTAACGTCTTAATCGTGGTAATGACTGGAACCCATATCTTGATATGGATGAGTCACCACCTGGAACAGTAGACAAATATTTTGGCAAGAGTGTCTGGCTGCACTGCCCCCACTCTGAAACAGCTGGATATCATGAATGATATAGTGAAATATGTATACATATATATATATACACATATATATATATCTCTCTCTCTCTCTCTCTCCCTTAATATGACCCCTAGTACAGACTGTTACAGGGTGGGGGAAGTACCCCATCTCTGGTCAGCAACTCAGGTTCGCAACAGTGTGTATGCAGGAGGCTTGAGTAAGAAGGCAATCCGATTCCATGAGAGCAACAAGTCACAAGAGAGGTACCATAGTCTAAACTCCTTCAAGGGGTTATACAGGGGACTTTTCGGGGGAGTGGTAAAGGAGGTACTACGGGGGATGGATACTAGGAGTTTAGACTTGAGCTCATATGGGCTCTTGTTGAAAGTCTCGGTCCTTTTCGAGTACCCGTATTCACACAGCACCGAGTATGTTGGGTACACCTCGATACTGGAAACTAACCGAATGCCATGGCATGGAAGCCCTTTCCTACCAGGCAATGCGAGGCCTTCTTATAGCACCTCCCCACAATGTGGCTTGGCGAGTAGTTAAAAAAGACATTTGTTGCTTCTGAACTCAGTAAAGAAGAAGAGCGATGAAGCGCGTACTATCCCAGCATTGAGCGAGGTGGATCCGAAGAATCTCCTCCTCGACGAGTCTGCCAGGAACACCATTGAAAATGCTCGCAACACGCTGGAAATCATGCGGAAGGAGGCGCCAGGTCAAGAAATGAAGCTGTATCTCGTCACTTCCGAGTTTCACTCACCGCGCTCTGAGTACATCTTCAAAAATGTTTTGGATTCACAGAACGCTTCTGAAGTGGCGCTTGAAGCATATCCTGCCCCCAGCGGACTGGCTGATGACATCTCAGACGATCCGAAGAAGCCCATGGTGAGAGACTTCAAGGTCGTTTTTTGGATGTGTTCCCAGTAGTGTTGTTTGATGTTGTAAGTCTGGAATGGTATGCGTATCCTTTCCCTTACCACCCCCCTCAAACTGGACCTAGGTGAACCCAGCCCCTAACTGAGTTTGGTATGGGCCCTTGTTTGAGGGCCGGGTTGTAGCGGGGTTGTAGAGGAACGAGCACACGAACTTCAGATTTGCAGAATATCCTTCTCTTGAGACTTGCGACTGGGGCACTCAGGATAAGATCATGAAGGACATCAACGAGTGGGGCATCTTCCTCAGGCTTTGTCATGAGCATACCATCATGGAGGCCTGGAGATCACATTTGAGGGAAAGGAACCCCTACAAGAAGGTGGTAAGATGTTTGGTATAGGCTTCCGAAATTAGAATTTTCTTCTTTGCACGAGATCTTTCATGTAAGAACTCCCGAAGTCTGGTTTTACTGTTTGGGCTCCTTATCTGAGAAACTGCTGTTTCAAAATCTGTGGGCTTGAAAAAGCCGTTCTTCCCAGAAGGCAGCACCCGTGAGGTGAAAATGCGACGTTGGCTTGCAGAGTATGGCATCCCGCAGCCAGGACTGAGTTGGACAGAACCCCACACTGGGATTCTTATAGGTTGGATCCCCCAAACTAGGGTACTCCTATACGACCCCCATGCATTATTGTCCGTATTATAGGGACCCCCAAAAAGGTACCCTAAACTTTAGGAAACCCACACATGGAGGTTTATAATCGTTAGGGAAAACCCGCTCATGGCGGGGTGTTTGATGTCTTGGCCTGCTGAGGGTTGTAAGGGACAGGGCAGGGTTGTGGACCTTAAGCCCAGGACCCTAAACCCTAGACCGGACTGACGGAATAGCATCTAACGCTTGGGTTGTAGTGCGTGACTGGCCAAGGACGCCCGTTGCTGTGTCTACCTGCAGTTTTTACCTGTTTAGGGGGTAGGATCTAGGGTCTAGGGTCGGTTTATGGGTTTCACCTACTAAGCTAAAGGTAAGTCAAGTTACAGATAATCAGAGTCTAGAGGGTTCCCGAGAATGCACCATCAGTTTTGCACCTATCCGTGCACTCAAGCGGCTGGCTTAAACTTCAAGTTTCCCCTAAACCCTAAAATCTAGTCTGAAGAAGGGGCTGCCATGTTCCAATCCTGGGTTCAGGGTGTAGTTGATGATACGGATCTGAAGAGTTTGTACGGCGAGCTAGCCCTAGAGGCCCGTTGATGCACATAAGCTGCTGGCCACCTGATGTGTAATATTGGGGTTATATTGGGGTAATGGAAAAGAAAACTGAAGCTACTATACTGGGTTTAGGGTTTAGGGTCCCTATATAGGGGTTATAGTGCGTAATGCAGTTCAGAGAGCGCTCGGGCTGAAGTAGCCCCTTATCGCACAAAAAAACAAACAAACCCCTAAACAACTTGACCCCTGAAAACTTGAGCCCTAAACCACTGATCTTGGCAACCACGGTCACGATCATAATTGCTCATGCTGACATTCACTAGAAGAAGCTTCTGGAACACAGTCTTATCCTAGCGCAGCCGGAATAAATACAAAAGGCTTTGCCTCGTATTCTTCATGTATACGCGATAGTATATCCTACTCCAATATCCAATTCCGGGTATTGAGGCCCCTGCATGCAGTCCACATACGGCCCTTGTCTACTCCCAACGTCCATATCATTTTTCCATGTTCAGGTGATTCTCCATGAGATTTCATGAACCCTGACCATAAACCCTAAACTCAGAAGGATGGCTAGTTCCCTGAAGTGGTCCCTGAAAATCCCTTTTTGTAGTCCTTACAATCCCTCGCAATCGTCCCTGCCATAAAGCCCTACCGTTAACCCCAAGTCCCTACCGCTTAGTAGTAACTACCCCCTTAATGATGGGCATAACCCATAAAACTTTAGGTAAGTTGTTACAGGTAAATCCCAAATATAGCTAAACCCCAGACCCTAGACTCTAAACCCTAATCCCTAGAACCTTAAACCCCCCCTACACCCTTAAAACCCTGAAACCCTGCACCCTAACCCTAAAGCTCAGGAAGCAGGATCCCAAGCATTACGACCGAGCCGTTGGGCAAATCCTCGAGATGATCGAGGAAGCCCGGGCTGGCCGGCTGTCCACCACTGCACGAAAGAGCCCCTAAATTGGGGCTTTAGGGTTTTCCGGGTTGGGAGTTTAGGGCTTCAGGGTTTCGGGTTTTGGACTTCAGGGTTCAGAGTTTAGGGGTTTTGGGTTTAGGTTTGGGACTAATCTTTAAGGTCTCAGAATGTCTTAGACATTATCGTGCAAAATCCTGGCACCTAAATTGGCGCTGGTCTCGAAGGGTGTAGGGTTTATCTAGCTTAGAGTTTCGAGACTTGTTTTCTGTGGGTTTCTGTGGGTTGTCATTGGGTAGTTGTAAGGTGGGTAAATCCACACCTTAAGAGGCCGGCTGATGAGCTTTGGATCTGAGATAGTTTTAGAGCCTCTTCTGGGTTGCTGTTAAG